TGACCCTCACTATTACTTTTCCAAACACCATCACCACCACAATTACCCCATTGCTTCTCCGCCTCACTTCCAACACCTGCTCCAACAACTCTTCTCTTACCATCACACCAACTCCTCCCGTACCATCATCCCCCTTCCACCACAACTTATATCTTCCACCTTTAGCCCCCACAAACCTTGTACCCTCACCCTTCCATCTGACCTCCTGTAATGCAGCCACGTCAACCATTCTCCTCTGCAGCTCCTCCACCACTTCCAAACTTCTTCCTGTCAACGTGCCTACATTCCAGGTACCAAACCTCCAACCCCTTGGTCTACAAGTAGTCCTTCCATCTATAGTGCCTTGCACCGCCACACTATAGAGTGGGGTGCCAGTAGCCAGACCATCCACAGGGCCTTGCACCACAACCCCATCGACTGGGTCTCCGGAGATTCTTCGCACCCTCTTCTGCCGGATACTGAGGGCCATTGTTTTCTCCGTCATCATCATAAGCATTTATTATTTGGCTAGTTTTTACACAGGACGCCCTTCCTTACGCAACCACAGTTATAAGCGGTGGGCCTAGCCTTTGATGATCCAACATCACTCACAAGGCAGTGAGGGTCAGTTTAATGTCATAACCATATATAATATATATCATATATATTAATATATATATATATGCTTATATATATATGAGTATGTTCTTATGTGAGAAACATTTTCACTTACATAGATACTTAATTATATTTTATATTTAATAAATCTTTGGTCGATATGACGAGTCAATATGGAGGCAGCGTCTCTTCTGTTCGGTCTAGAGTTCGTTTCAAAACTTTGGGATACTTCGTGAAAACGTTAAAAGTCTCCTAATCTAAATCAATTATAATACTGATTGTTGTCATTTAAAGTTTATTTTTTGCCACAAAAATGGTCGAAGAAAAAATTAAGAAAACTGATATGAAAAAGTTGGAAAAACAAAAATCCGACGTGGTCGAATGGGTTGGTCTGTCTCTGAGCAAATATGATTTGAGGCAACAATTGATTAGGTCGGCATCTTCACTAATGTTCCAAGCGGACGTCATTCAACGTTATTTGATTGGTGATTTGTTGGGGATTGGATCCTACGGCATAGTGAAACACTGTATAGATTCCATCACTCTTAGGAGAATGGCTGTCAAAATATTCATTGCAAAGCGCATTAGAAGGATACCTAATGGTCCTGAAAATATATTGAAGTATGATTTCAGTTTTAAATTTTAATGTTTGTTTGTACTTATGAGCTACAGTTATGAATTTGAAATTAGACATAAAAGACTTTAGTTTAGTTTAGTTTAGTAGTTTAATAATTTAGTTAGTTGGATTAACCATTAAGAAAAGATGTATCATTTCATTGTTGAAAAAACTTTGAAACAGCAACTTTTATATTTTATTGTTGCTAAGTAGATATTCAACAAAATTTCATATATTTAGCTTTTAGCACCAACAAATTTTTATTTTTTTTTAAATTAAAAATAATTCTTCAAGTGAGCTGAAAATAATGAGAAAGATAAAACATGACAATATAGTGAAGGTGTTTAACATAACATGTCGTGAAGAAGACCACTTTATGATGATGGAATTATGTAAATTTAACCTTGGCAATGTTCTAGAGCAGTTGAAAAATAATCGTCTACCGATAACTGTAGCCCACCAGTTATTTAGTATTCATTTCGTTATTTCATAATGAATTTACTATTCTTATATTAAGCACTGTATATAATTTACATGTTTTTTTTAAATTAAAAGGAGCTTTTTTTATTTTAGAATGACGAAAATTATTTTGTTTTTTATTAATTAAATGATCACACAATACAAAAGTAATTTGTTTTTTATGTTATTTCAAGTTTCTATAAGCACTTGGTTACTGGATTGGATTACCTCCAGAGTGTTAAAATCATCCACATGGACATCAAACCTGATAACATGCTGATAAGTTATGACAATGTCCTTAAAATGTCTGACTTTGGGGTGGCACAAGTTCCTAACTACTTATTTTTGTATATATTATAACAGAATATAATCAACTCTTTGCCAAATGTTATTTTATTTCCTAGTTTAAATTTTGGACTTAGATTTTTCCATTTTTCCCTTATCTATTACTCACCTTCATCAGCAACTGGACATGTTTGATAACGATGACACATGCACCAGGTACAGAGGTTGCCCCATCATTCAACCTCCAGAAGTTGCCAGAGGAGATGATAAATTCTCTGGATTCAAACTTGATATCTGGTGCTCTGGTGTCACCTTGTAAGAATTTAGCTTTTTGCTTGGAAAAAATTGGATTTGATTTCGAAGATTTAAAAGATTATAATAATTGTTCGTACTCTTCATTTAGTAATTCATTTTTAGTTGTTATTAACAATAAACATATGAAATATATGCAACTAGGTTTAAAATGCTTGTAGGAGAGTATCCGTATGATGCAATCAATGAATTCCAACTGATAGAAAAGATTATAAAAGGAGTCTATGAAATACCTAGCTGGCTGGATAGCAGAACCACTGGTCTACTGGAAGGTGGTGTTCTTTTTTTTTAATAATTTCATTTCCTTATAAAATTTTCATCATAAGTCAACATATTTCCATTCAAGCTCTGCTGCAGTATCATGCTAAGGACAGACCTACTATCAAACAACTAGTCAACCATGAGTATGTTTTTCAAACCTTCAAACATTAATTTTTTTACTTTCAGTCCCTTCTCCTCTCTCTCTCTCTCTCTCTCTTTTCCGAGATTTCAAGTACACTGACATTAGAATATCTTGATTAAGATAGTTTTTAACCAACTAATCAACCAACCACATGACAGATGGATGGATGTTAGGTATACAGATGAGAAGCTCGAGGAGGAATTGAACCTGATGCAGTTGGATTACCCTGATGATTATACTCTCAAAAATATGCTCCGTCACTTCCACGATGAGGACCCTGAATTTTTTAAAGAAGAAGTTATACGTACTATTGATTGTATGTAGTACTTTTCATGATTTTAATGTTATAGTTTATTAATATCGATATCAAAGATGTTACTGCAAATTTTTTCCCATTTCAGTTACAACTACAGGCTAAAGCCGTCGTGAAATCATATGACTCGAGCTCATAACTTTTTATATAACTATTTGTATTACATTTGTATTATATTTGTATTATATTATTGTTATTTATATTTTTTCATAATTTGTATATGCACGTTTGTGTTGTCATTGTCGTTGTCTTTCACATTTGCAATATTAACATGCTTTTGGTATATATTTTTATTTGAAACACGAGTTTCGTCTAAGTTTTTGTCTGAATAATTTTAATAATAAAATCTTTGTTTTTGTGCTATATTTAATTCAAGAGTAGTTACAAAATGTTCATTAAAAGGAGTTTGTTTAAAGAAAATTTACTACTTTAGACCATTATTAGGTAGAATTGCTATTGCCTATCAGTAGTTTATCGCATTAGGCGACATATTTACATTATATTGATAGGTTACTAACTGAACCTTTCATGTTCTGTGATTGTGCAGTTACAAATCTTGTATAGTTGCGTTTTATGTTAAACTCAAAGTCAGACGCGTTTAATTATTAAAGTGTTCTTATCTCAAAAATTCTAGGTAATATCCCAAGATAACGATTCCATTATGTGGGCTAGACAATGATGCAACACTACCCATAGTTATTCACGCCAAAAATGATGCAATAATTGTCACAGGTACTGCTATGTAGTATATATACATAAAAGTCTCGATATTTTCATTGTGAGTTAAAGGAATGTAATACTAAATAGAATTATTTTGACGGTTTTAATATCTTATAACATTATTGGTTTGAATTGTTTAGGCTTTCTTTGTCTCGTCAGTTTTTTAAAAAACGAAAATTAAATAATTGAAATATTTTATATTTTAGTTCGTTGGTAAATTTTTTACGAAAACTATAGTCGTGTCTAACGAGCAATGGCAGATATTTCTTCCTTATCTCTTGGTAATTATTAATAATCATTTGATTGTTTTATTCTTAAAATAAAATCATAATGTTTTTTGATTTGATATTTTCTAAATAAGTTTCAAGGTTTTTTTTAACACTTCCTAACCACAGATGTTTTTTTATCGCTCATATTTTTTTCATCTTTTAGCAGATCTTTACACGTCAGAGAAGTTTGGTTCTGATGAAAGTGGGGATGGATCAGAGGCCAAACCGTTTAAAACGGTTCTAAAAGTTAGATTTAATAAATGTTGAGTCAGTTTGTGTAGCATTTGTTTACATATTTTCATAAATTTTTTCAAACTGCCAAACCTACAACAGGCCATGCAATTTTCTGCCAAAGGAGAAGTTTCAGAAAATTTTCCTCCAATTTTTGTGGACTCCAAAGAAGATGGAAAAGTATGTTATTCTGGAATAACTTACTAAATGTTTCAAAAAAATATAAGGATTAATGATATTAATATGCCTACCAATGATAATTTTTATTACAGAAATTTGAGCCGATAACAAAATCACAACTGAAAAAATTCAAGAAGATGTATGTTGCACAGGCCTGGAAGCAAAAAGAGAAAGAGGAAGCTGTTGCTAATTCTGTCCCAACTGTCAGTCATTTTCATTTGTTTTTTTTTATTCGTTGAAATTTCATTGCCACATTGCTATTTATATCAGCTATATCACACACATCATTCCATAAAATTTTATATTTAAAATCAGTATTCAGAATCTCAAGCTTTAGAAGAAGCAAAAAATATCAAAATTGAATTAGACACTTCACTTCCGGAACCTCTTAAAGTAAGTTTCTTTTGCTTTTTGAACACTTTCTTTTAAAAAATGTTTGTATGTTGATCATATATTAAATAAAATAAATCCAATTTTATCAGATTAAAATCAAAGACAGTACTGATCATAGATGTAAAAGAGTGAAAATATATGGGTGGGTTCATAGACTAAGAAGGCAAGGCTAGTTAAATATATTCTTTTTATAATTTTAATTATTTATCTAATTATTTGTTCATTTATAGCCTTTTTGATAATTATTTAAAGAAATATTTAATATTAAGTTTTTTGTTTTCAGGAAAGTCTTTGACATTTATTATTTTGAGGGATGGAACTGGCTACTTGCAGTGTTTGCTGACCAATAAATTGGTATGTGCTATAGTTCATTGTACATTTTTTAATGTTTTAATAATTTCTTATGTAACTTGTACTCTTTCATAGTATTTCACTATCTACAGTTAATTTCATACAAAGAAATAAATAAATGGTGAATTAATTATTTTATAATTGGATCAGGCCCAGACTTACGATGCGTTGGTGCTGTCCTGCGAGTCTACAATATGTCTTTATGGTACCATCAAGGAAGTTCCAAAGGGACAGACAGTCAGTTTTATTTCTGTTCCATTTTGTAAAAAGTTACTAGAATGAATGAGTGAATGAATGGATGAATAAATGAATGAATAAATGAATGAATTATTAATGATAAGAAGAATGTAAAACAAATCCTAAAATTATTTCTTTTCAGGCACCAGGTGGCCATGAGCTGACAGCAGACTACTGGGAGTTGGTTGGCTTGGCTCCACCTGGTGGCGCAGATAACATTCTGAATGAGGAGGCTCACATTGATGTTCAGCTTGATAATAGGCACATCATGATCAGAGGAGAAAATGTAGTCATGTGTTGTGTGTTGTGTTTTGTGGTTTGGAATAATTCTTTATATTTTCATTATTTCTGTTTCAGTTGTTGAATGTTTAGTGCTTAGAGTTTAGGTAATTAGTTGCCTCATGTGATTTGATATTGTTTTTTATGTTTTTTGAGAATTTCTTTTTAACGTTTAAAGACTTAAAAATAAATATAGTTTTCATTGCATTGATTATTCTTGACATGTGTTATTGGAACAAATTACTCTGCAGACATCTAAATTCCTGAGGTTGAGGTCCAGTGTTACGCAAGCATTTCGAGATCACTACCACAGTAGAGGGTACATTGAGGTTTGTAACTCATATTTTCCACATTTCCACACTATATTCAAATTATTAATTACAATTTGCAATGTTATTTCATTATTCAATATCTAAGTTATTGATTGCAGGTAACCCCACCTACTCTGGTTCAAACTCAGGTAGAAGGAGGGTCAACACTTTTTAAGTTGGATTATTTTGGTGAGCAGGCCTATCTCACTCAATCGTCACAACTTTACTTGGAAACCTGCTTGCCATCATTGGGAGATGTTTTCTGCATCACTCAGTCGTACAGAGCTGAACAATCTAGGACGAGAAGACATTTGGCTGAGTTTGTTTCTATTTTTTCATGTTTTTGTTTGTTAAAAAACTTTTAGTTTAAATTATTATTTTGATAATTAATTTTCAGCTGCAACTAAGACTTTTTTTTATATACCTGCAATGCAACTACGAAACAATCACAACTCAACTATTAAGATTTTGATTTAAAGTGAATGTTCAGATTAACATTATAGCAACTGTAGGATAAAGGTGTTGTATGGGTGTTGAAATATCATGATAACAGGTACATGCATGTTGAGGCAGAATGTCCTTTCATATCATTTGAAGATCTGCTCGACAGGCTGGAAGATTTGATATGTGATGTGGTTGATCGTGTTCTCAAATCATCTGGAGCACTCCTTCATGAAGTCAACCCTGTAAGATATTTCTTTCATTTGCATGTTTTTTAGTTTCCATTAATGTTTAATGTTTCAAAATCATGGAAAAATATTGACACTATCAGTGCAAGAATAATTTAACATCTTTTCAACTTTTTTTTTATTTGAATTAGAAAGTTGAACAACATGCTACCACTGAATTTTTGTTTAATTTGCAAACCATTGTCGATGCTTCTGTTTAGAAATTCCAAGCTCCAAAGAGACCATTCAAAAGGATGGATTACAAGGATGCCATTGAGTATCTGAGAACTCACAACATCACTAAAGAGGATGGAACATTCTATGAATTTGGAGATGTTAGTACCATCCTTAAACCATTTTATAACTTTGATTAGCTATATTTAAATAATTATACATAGATGGATAAATGACAATTATATTTTATTATAGTTACTGCCTACAAGCTATAATTATCTCATAAACATGTTTTAATGTATTTTCTTGTTTACACTACCCTGGACACATTCAAAAAATATTGCATTACTTTATTTGTGAAATCTTTTCATTTCTAAAAATCCATCTTTCTCACTCTATTTCTGGTACAAAATATGGCTTTTCCAAGTTGTTTTTGTCAGAAATATTCTGCTAAATTTTATCTTCCTTGAAGTGAATATTAAGCATATATGAAAAGAGATCATTGGATTGAACAACTGCTCATATGAAATGAATTATTGAATTGAACACAGGACATCCCAGAGGCGCCAGAAAGGAAGATGACAGATGAGATAAACGAGGTAATCATGTTGTGCAGGTTCCCTGCTGAGATCAAATCCTTCTACATGCAAAAGGACAAATTAGATAGGAGAGTCACTGAATCAGTTGGTCTTATTTTTAATCAATCAATCAATCTTCGTTTTGCGTCCAGAGACCCGGTTTCCCGAGGTAGGACGTTGTTTTCTTTGCCATCAACTTTTTGCGCCAAATTAGACGATCAGTTGTATCCATTTCATTTAAATTTAGAGCTTTCATGTCTTGCTCGATTGTTTGCGACCAGGACTTCTTTGGACGGCCTTTGGGACATGTGCCAGGTACTTCAACATCTGCAAGAGAAGTTATGGCACTGTTTCCACTTCGTTTGACATGACCAAACCACCGCAGACGGTGTTGCCGGCATTCGTCCTTTATATCATCTAAACCAGCACGACGCAGGATTTTGGTAGATTTGATGTGGTCCTTTAGACTAATTCGTTGCATCCATCGAAGCATTTTCATGTCGGTTCGTTGAAGTTGTTGTTCCAGTTTGGTTGTCATTGGCCATGTTTCTGCACCATATAACAACACCGGACGTATCACAGATTTATAAAGTCTTGATCGTAGTGGTAGTGGGATGTCACGCTGCATCAATATAGAGGCAAGGAGATGCCATTTATTCCAGGCTGCACGTATGCATACTCGAACGGCAGCTTCAGCTGTTCCAGTCCAATCCAGAATATCTCCTAGATATTGAAACGATGTGACTTTCTCTATTTTAATGGCTTCAAAAACAGTGCTATTTCGAATTTGTTGTTGTGGATTGATGCAAGCAGGATAAACAAAATTGGACACTTTAGATAAAGTACCAATTTATTTTTGAACAACGTTTGTGACACCACTGGTTACACTGCTGACACTTGATTGAATTGTTACCTACACCAGCTTTACAAACTGAACAGGGCCATTGTCCAGTAGCTGTGGATTGGATGGGTTCACCAGTGTTCATTGCTTTGGTTTTGCTGATGTTGACTTTGAATCCATGATCGGCGAGTCTGGTGTTCCAATCTTCAAACATCTGTGCTGCATTCTGCTCAGACGTGGCTGTTAAAACGATATCATCAGCATATACTAGATTCCAAATGTCACCAGTGCGTATCGGTTTCAAAGAAAAACAACGGCCCCTAGTCCCCAGCAGGCCTTAAGTGGTCAAGGGGTGCCAAGAATCCCTGGGAAGTATGCAATAGCGGAGGGATGTTGCAGAAAAATTCAGAATGGCCCCTCTATGGTACTTAGACTTGGAGATCACTATTGGTTTTCTGTTTTAATTTAATTAAATTAGTTTATAATTTGCCTTGCTTTTATTTATAAATATTCTGTCATTCCTTTTTTATCTGTACTCTGTGATAAATCCCGTTTTCTATTATATATTGTGTAGTTTCTAAATATACACACACCTTTCCAATTAAATTTAAATATTTTCTCATTTCTTTTTGTTAGGCTTAAAAATATGAATCTCCATTTGCATATAGGTTGACATATTGATGCCTGGTGTTGGTGAAATTGTCGGTGGATCGATGCGTATGGACAATGCAGCTGAACTGTTAGAAGGCTACAAAAGAGAGAACATTGATCCAACTCCGTACTACTGGTACACTGATCAGGTAGGCACTAGAAAAATTTTATCACTATTTCATTAATACTTTTTTGTCATAATATTATTTTGGCTATTTATTATTTTTCTCTTTCATGTAAGTTTAACAATTTCTTTCGTTAACAAAACTTTTGTACTCTGTACTATCTAATGTTTTCAGAAATTGAAAATTACAAACTTCCACATAACTTTTGATTACAATTAATCTTAAATGACTTAACAATTTTTTCATCAAACCAAACAAACATGTAGAGAGTGTATGGCACATGTCCACATGGAGGATACGGTCTCGGACTGGAGAGATTCCTGACGTGGATGTTTGATAGGTACCACATCAGAGATGTCTGTCTATATCCGAGATTCATACAACGTTGCAAGCCATAAGTCTACATACAGTGCATGTCATAATGTCAGTGCCGATACTAATGTACTGTATTAAGTATTGAACTGTTCATATATAATGATGGTGGACGATTTCATTTTGAATTTAATAGCATTTGGCAATTATTGTCTTAATGTAAGCTATAGATAATTAAGTTGTCTGTTACTAAATCATTTTTATTTGTTGCTACGTTATTATATTAAGTAATAGTTTTATTTTTATGAATTTAATACAATAGGCAGTTTCATAGGAAAAAATTTATTCTCGTTTCCTTTAACAATCATTCATTTTAATATCAAATAAATTATATTCAATTATTATTTTGTATTTTATGAAAAAATGAATTGGTATCAAAATCTGATGTTCAGTTATTAATGAATGTGACATTGGAATTATTTTTGGAAGGCATCCAGTTGTTCTCTAATTTCTTTGATTTTTGATCTCAAGTAATCTGCTTTGGACATCCAATGTTTGTAACTGGCTGATTCAGCTTTTAGTTGTTTCTGTGTCCTCGTCTTCTGAGCCGAGTTTCTTTTCTGTCAATATATTGTCGAGTGTTGTCGTTTGAATTTTTCATGATTTTAAATAAAAAATTGTAGATTAATATGATTAACACTATGAGTTAAACTGACATTAATAACTTCTATTGACTGCTTCAAAGAGTTCTGCATGTCATCTTCTACAGAAATCTGAGAAATATTACGCTCAATTATAGGCTTTATCATAATATTGAACATTTCGCTCAACAAATGCAACCTTTGTTAATAATTGATCAATATCAATTTCAACTTTCTCTAAATTCACCAATTTCCTTGCTGTTGGTTTCGAAGAGTTGCAATCATCTGACTCCATAATGTGTTTTCCTTTGTGTTAAATCATCATTTTAACATAAATTATGGTAAATACATGTGTGAAAGAATAAAGTTAGATACTTTTGTTGTATAGATGGCTCAATTCTTCATCTCCCATCTTGCATATCTTATAATCTTCTGAGGCGCAGATCATCTGTTCAATTTGTTCAGATTTTGATTTCATTTTCTCTCTGTATTCATCGTTTGATGTTTTAACTCGATTCAATTCAAAAGATTTTAATTCACATCGTGCTTCTTCTGCTACTGTTTTGCTCACTAAACTTTCAACTTCTGTTGGGAAATTATTAAATAGTTTTAGATTATTTTTTGTGATGGCTCTTGTTTCCTATCTATATCTGACTAATAACTGACCTGAGGCAAATGAACTGACTCACCAATTTTTGAATCTCTACAGTTGTCTTGTTTTTGTCTAATCAAACTTTGAGACATCCAAATATCATGTTGTGTTTGCTTGGCCATGGAATCTAATGATGCACTCTTCATTTGCTCTGATGTCAAAAATTTTTCTTACCACTCAATGTAAAAAAAATATGACCAAATGAAATAATTTAAATCAATTGTTTAACCTTTTATCAAAGTGCTCTGCAAAATAAAATTATCTTCATGGATTAATATTTATTGGAGGCACGGTAATAATGTTAAATATTTAACCTGTGTTTTTGACAGTTCAATATTTTCCTCATTCACTTTCTTTATCAGAGTCTTCATTTTTTCATCCAAACTTGAGCCCACCTGTTTGATGTGGTCCAGCACTGCCTCTGCATTATTTGGGTTTGAGTTCGCAGAACCTAGAAACAAATTGATGTTTTAAAATGAAAATTTATCATATTTTGTACCAATTAAAACATTTTAAGCTATTTTTCACAAAATAAAAATAAATTATCTATTAAAAAATGTAATTTACTTTCTGAATTTTGTATGCCTGACTTCGTTGTCTCTTCATTTTTACCAGATCTGAACGTGAAATGGTAGTTGTTGTCAACATTGGCATTTGGTAAACTGATGCAGCAGCAGTCTGTTGCCTTCTCATATTTAAATTCAAAGTAACCTAGCTTGCCTGACATGATGAGGTGACCTAACAAAATGTTTATAAATAGCTTTTTCAGCATATGTTTCACACCTGTTACCTACAAGCTATGAGAAATTTTCGTAACGCTCAGATTTCTTGTATTTTTTAACCAGATTTTTATAAAGGATTGTAAAAATATCATAAATTGTAAATATTAATAACTTATCTTTGTAAAAAAAAAGAATAATCAGGAAATCATGTGAAGAAAAAAAGAAGTGTCAATCCACAATTTTTTGTATTTAAAAAATTCAATCATTGTAAGATGATTTTGTCAAAAATAAAAATTCAGTAATATAATATTTAATTATGCTCTAAAATTAACGCCATTCTAAAACGTTTGAAGCAAAAAATAACAAACCTAGACGTCAAAATGTCTGATAAATCGTTTTCAGTTACCGAAGACATTCTTTAACATTTCGATTAAAAAAAAGTATCACACGTACACAGCGAATTTCAAATTCATTTATTTCAAACAAAACACTTCAGAAACAAAAGATGGAAGTGTGTTTAATAGCAAATAACTCTTGAAATTAATGGGTATGATCTCCTCAGTCCCATGCATTTCTCCCTATCAATAAGTATGCTAAGTAGTTTCAAATCCAAGTCATGTTGCAGAGAGGCCTTCGTCCTCAACAGCTGCTGAAGAGCGTTCTCAGATTCTCTCAGTTTGGCCTTCAACTTATCTATCGTTTCACACACTTCATAGACCTCTTCAACCAACCTGTAAGAAAGGAACTTTTTAGTGTAATACAATTTTTAAATGTTTTATTGCACGTGAAACGATTGCTAGCCTGTCCAAAAAACCATTGAACAATGAAATTATTCGTGAATTACGAACTTGTTGTGCACATGATCTCTGGTGTTTTCCATGTTTGGACGATGGTTTCTGGCTTCCAGTCTTGTTTGTGCAACTTTCATGTACGGGGCTTTTTCTTCGATTGACTTTTTTAGAAGCTCTATTGATGTTTCAGTGTTGAATATTTCTTCCAAAATCTTCAAAATGTTTAAAATTATTTTATTTGCTCTTCAATATGATTTATGATTAAACGCAACTACATTTGAAAAAGAAAATCAAACTACGTTAAAGAAAAAGATACATGAATGTAGCACTTTGAAAAAGGATATTATTTTAATTGAGAATGTTAGAAAACTAAACAAACCTTCGAGAGATGTGCCTGAATCTTGTATTTAGCTTTCTCCAGCTCTTCAATGTGATCGGAGAAAGCTGAATTAACGTTGTTCCAGGCAGTTACGAGTCGCTCAGCGGTGATGGTGAGCATTTCCTCGACTTTGTTCCTCAGTTCACGAGACGCTTTGCGTTCCTGCATGGACCTCTTGATGTTGTCGTCTGTGTATTTGGCCCATGTCTCAGGTACACTTTGGCTGTAGATCGAAAAATAATGGCGATAATTGAAAACAAAAGTACCTACACGTTGTTAATTATAATTATAATCAATTTTCACAGTAAAATACAGCATTTTCATGTTAATTGTTATTCTGAGAGTAGTTTATCGATAAACAATAACAGCAGACAATGAGAACCACCGAACGAAGAATAAATAGCAAAGAATCAACACAAACATCCACTCAGAGATACCGGAGGACCAACCTGTTATCAACCCTTTCGATACAGTCATAGTAGTAGATGCCCCTCGATGTATTCTTCATCTTGATGGCGTTGTTGTCAATGTTCAGAGCAACAAACTTATCAGCTGAATCCTTCTCTAACTCGTGGTAAGCAGCTCTCGCCAATCTGTTAAGTTGGGTTATTTATTTTATTTATTTAAATTGACTTTTAAAATCACGGTTTGGAGGATTACTAAATTAAATAATTAAACTAAGAAACACATGTATGTGTTAACAAAATTCTGAAATAAAACAAAAAAACATTACTGACGCTAGTGTCTGATTGATGTCATTCATAATGTTCCTCATGTCTTCTTGCACTCTCTTCAATAGGTCAATCTCCTTTAATTAGTTTTTTGAATCACACTTTATATTTTAATAACATTATATTAAATAAATAAAAATTGTTAACAATAACGCCAATAGTGAAATAGGATTATTTATGACAAGTAATTTCAATTACAGTCAAGAGTTACAGAGTTAAAAAACGAAATCGAACCTGGATGATCGAGACCTCAACGTCATCATGGACCATCTCAATACCCTGCCTCTTCTCACGGTTATACAAACATTCCTGATCAATGTAGAGCGTGTTGTTCAGTTCACTTATTTCTCTTTCAAGACAGGATCTACTCGAGTTTTGTTCAAATAATAATGAAGATTCATCCTTTTAACATTTTTAGTGTTGGCTCAAAGCGGTTGAACTAAAAAATTTATATTGGCGTGACGATAAATCTAATTACAATAATAGTTATAATTGAAGAAACATTTAAAGGAAAACCTGGACTTAAGCAAGACATCCATCTCTGCCAGCATCTTATCCATTTCCGCTTGCAATTCACATTTCCAAAACATGATATCCTGAATGCGTTCGCCTGAAATGTGTTTGTGTAGGTTTGTTTGTGTGTGCGTGTGTGTATGTGTGTGTGTGTTACTTGTATATTTGTAGATGTTAGATGATGTTTTTAATGTTTGTAATTAATTGATTGTGGTTAACATCAATCGAAAATGGCAACTACTCAATTTATTGTTCGAGTCGATTTGACTTTTTTGACTCTTCTCTTCCAGCTCACTGGCTGTATGCAGAGAATTGTGACGGAGAAACTCCGAGGCACATCTCACCTACGTGTGTCACGTGACGATAATGATGATGGCGATGATGATACTTATGAAAGAGTTTATAGTAATGACGACGACGATAATGATGATAGCGCTTTAGCCGATTAAAAAATGCTAATAAAATTTTCATTGATAATGTTCGAAAGATAAAGGTTTTTTATTTGAGAAGAAAACCATAATGAAAAAAAATTGCAATGTCAATGATATTTTTAATAAATGATAAATTATTGAAGAAGTAATGACCATTTTATCAAGTGTTTATTAATATTACCCTGTTGGATGTTTGATAGTTACACTGGTTTGACAAACACCAATCCCTTTCTGAATAGCGAGTGAATAGTGCGTTACGAGCGGCGGCAAATACTGGCGGTATTTTGATACCGTCCAAATGACGCAGTTTGTTCGTGCTTGCCTTATAGATTTTATTTGTTAAAAAATAAAAAAAACCAACTAAAAAAAAGTTTAGTTCAATAAATAAGCTACGAATAAGGAGACAATGTATGCACCAGAGGTTGGGGCATGCTGTCACAACAGGGCCAATTTGGCTCGGCCCTGCAAACCCCGTAATAAGAACTGGCCTTCCAAGGAAGAGTGACAGGAGCTTTCTTGAGAGGTCTCGAGTTGGGAAAGGAATCGAAAGGTTGGTAGGATTGCTCGATTGCAGATATTGCTGGCAGAAATGTGTTGGGTTCGCAGCCTTCAATGTTGGGGCCCGCCATGTAGCGAGCTGTTGTGCCACGGTTCACACCGCAGGTAGTCATCGTCTGTTCGTCAGAAATTGTAGCTGCGATGAATATTCATTCAATGTAGTTGTAATAAATGAATATTCATTCAATGAAGTTGCGTGAAATATTCACTCAATGCAGTTTCAATAGATGTAGCAGTAGTAAGAATAATTTTATTTTTTTCTTCAGCAAGAGAGATAACTGTAGCAATTGGATTCAACATTACATATTTTTAGAGTAAAAATGTAAAGATGTTTGTTTTGAATATCAGCATTTATGACAGTGTGGTTGTTTGTGAAATGGAGACTTATAAATAAGTAGTTGGTAAAACATAAAACAATACAAAAGGATTTATTCAAAATTGTACTTGTAAGTAAAGTAAATTGAAAGACCCGGTTAATTCGTCAACCTAACTGTTTAATTACAATTTAAATTTTGTTTGAATATTTCTCAAAGATGAGCAGTTGAACATCAGCTATTTAAATAACTTATTTACATAACCTCTTACTTGCTACTTATATTCGAAACATGAAAGTCATTTAACTACAGATAGATAACCTTTTAACGAATTTGTACCAATTCGTATTTGAAGTCTGTTATTTATTTACAATTGTTAACGATAATTTCGGACGTCACAAATAAAAAGAGGGTATATTTACTTGGAAAACACGTTCAACACATTAGAATGTTAAATAAATAAAAAAATTTCAGTGGCGTTAAAATAGCCGAAAAACTTGCAAAAATGCCTTGAAAATCTGAACGGACGAACGAACGAACGAACATTTAAATGTTATAAAATGTTTACGAGAAATTGCTTAAAATATAAGTATTTTATCGATTGTAAGCTTATTTTAACTGAAACATCATGTTGATTTAGTTTCAATAAGAACTTGACTTAAAAAGAATTCAAGAAAACTTTTGAAAAATTCAAAATTAAGATTTTGTGATTTCAATTCATTTCAAATGTTATTTTAGTGTTATTATAATATTATAATGTTATTATTTTCATTTTTAGAATTCAATCAAGTCACATTTTACCCAATAACAAAAATTAAATTGATAGAGCTTGAGTATTGTTTATACAAAAATTCAATAAGTCATCGTGATTCTGTGTTACTTCAGTGTTCATCTATCATGTATGTGTCTCTGTGTATGTATGTTTGTGTGTGTGTGTCTCTGTGTATGTATGTTTGTGTGTTATGTGTGTGTATGTGTGTGTGGTGTGTGTGTGTGTGTACGTTTTACAAATACCTTCGTTCCTCAGCGATAATAATAAAATTCAATAAAAAAAATATTTTTACCAATTAATTTGACTACTAGTGCAGGGAGTAGTAGTAGTAGTAGCAGTAAAAGTAGTAGTAGTAGTAGTTGTTGTTGTTGTTGTAGTTGTAGTGTTTATGTGTTGCATTTAAATATACATCTGTATACGATTGCTTGTTAGAGTTGTTTAATTGATTTTTTTCGGTTTAATTGATTGATTTCGAAAGAAAGTTAGCTCATTTGTATATTGAGAGGCAGAATACGAGTGTCAGTGACTAGAGAGATAAATCAACTAGTGAGTCCCGCCATTACATGAGATAACGTTTGTCAGTAGATCGCAATGGATAAAAAAAAATTATAAAACCACCTCTGAATTGAAATGGATACGATGCGTCATTAAATCTAATAACGTCATCATGTTCATAGCTATTGTTAAATATTTTCTTTTCAAAATATCGTATGATCGTTGTTTTGTTAGCTTGTTTCATTTGGCTGTTGGTGGTAAATGAACTTTAGGCTGATCAAGTAAACAAATTTGGACTGACAAACTCTCTCTTTTTTTCTCTCTCTCTTTCCTTCTCTCTCTCTTTCTCCCTTTTCCTCTCCTCTCACTTTCCAAATTTTTACACGAGATTTTATTCCACAAATTTGTTAAAGTTTTCCATGATAACTGCACTATAGCAAGGGTTTGCAAATTAGGGCCGCATGCGGCCCGCGAGGCCTTGTTCACCCAAATAAGGTCGTTAACAAGACATTATGTCGAAAAAATTGGCTATATAGATACATATGCGGCCCTTCAAAGGTAAAATAGTTTTCAATGCGGCCCTCAGAGCAAAAAGTTTGCCCACCCCTGCGCTATAGCGATTAAGAAAAATGTTTGTGTTGTGTTGATGTAACACAAACATCTGTCCTCGAATGATGTCTAAAGCATCCATCACCTAATACATTAAAGCTTTCTTATTTAAGACTAATAAACAAAACAAACGAACAAACAAACAAACAAACATGCAAATAAACAAACAGACAGGAACAAACAAACTAACGCCAATGTACTTGGTCCAATGTTGAAATCATGTTACTATGGACCTTTACCCACATTTTTAATGAATTATCAGCATTATTATCGTATAAATCATTGTTTTATGGTCATTTGTTATTATCTAACTATCATTCATTTATTAATATTAATCATTTTTAAGATGCTAGTATAGTAACTTCTCTAACTTGGTATAGCTTTATATTAAAATGTATTACAGATAGATAGATAGAAAGAAAGAAAGAGAGAGAGAGAGAGAGAGAGAGAGTGAGAGAGAAAGAGAGAAAGAGAGAGAAAGAGAGAAAGAGAATGAGGAAACTTGTTTAAATGTTCATGAAATTGTACAAAATGACAGCAGATGTCGTGACGTTCATATCAGTATAAATAATATTAATAATAATCACAATCATAATTATAATATTATTAAACATATATAATAATAATTAATTTATAATAAATAAATAAATAATAATAGCTAGGATGCAAACGCTAATGATGAGGATGATGATGAGGACAATAACACAAAAAACAATGATATAGACAACAGTGATAAGAATGATGACGACGACGACGATGATGACGACGATGATGAGAATGATCATCAGCAGATGATGATGACGTTACAGAGGATGTTAACTCTTGCCACACAATTGCAAACGTGTTTTTTTGTAATAAGTAATAATTTTTGTAATAATAATAACAACCCCCACCACTACTACTACTACTACTACCACTACTACTACATAATTTTTGTTTCTACTATTACCCCGCCGCTACTACAACAACTACAGCTGCTGCTGCTACTACAGCTACTACTACTATTGATGCGATGCTGCTACTACTACATAGACAGACAGACACACACACACACAAACAAACAAACAAACAAAAACACACATCCGTTCTAATCGATCAAATTGGTATCGTGTTTCGTGTTTCCGTAATAAATTACGAATTTTTATTTCAACTTGGTTACTTCTACGGATCTGATACGGTTTTTTGTTAATTTTAAATTAGGTTTTTTATTATTGCTATTTTGTTTTTTTGTATGTTGTTGTTGTTGTTGATGCTACTGTTTTGTTGTTGTTGATGATGCTACTGTTTTGTTGTTGTTGATGATGCTACTGTTTTGTTGTTGTTGATGATGCTACTGTTTTGTTGTTCCTGTTATTGGCTTGCCATTGCACTATAAATGACATTAAAATTATTATTTTTATTATTTTTATTCTTCTTATTTGTATTATTTTGAATATTATTTTTATGGTTTCATTTTGAAATTATTATTTATTATTATTATTATTAAATATTTATTTATAGTATATTTATTATTATTAATCTTATTATTAATATTATTATTATTATCATCATCATCATCATCATTAATCGTTAACATCGAAGTTGTTGCATTTTTTTATTTCGAAAAACTGGATGGATAACTGTTTTTCGATTGTTGCATATTTTAGCCTATAGTTTTTTGCGCATGCTAAACATTAACTTTTTCAATTATCGGTAAATATTGGCAAAAAAAGGTTATTCATTTATATATATATTTTTTTCTATTAATTTATTTTATGGAAACTTACTGTTAAACTATTCATGACCAACACCTTGCTCTGTAAGAAAATGAACTTAAATAGGACTAGGAATACTTAATAAATAGCAATAAAGATACACAGCATTCAAGTTCAAAAACTTTAAATTTGATAAAAGCCTACCTAATTTATTATTTTAATAAAATAAATATTTAGTCGTAGAAGAGTCATGTCGTAAATCAAGTTGTGTGTCTTCCAGTATCACTTTTTCTTATATATCTTTTTTCATTTTGTTTTGTTAGTATGTATGACTATGTGTGTGTGTGTGTGTGTACGTGTGTGTGTGTGTGCGTGTGTGTACGTGTGTGTGTGTGTGTGTGTGTGTGTGTGTGTTTGTAACGAAGTTTGAACGGAAACACACCAACAAACGTATGAACGTTAGCATTTTTTGACATGCAATCTAGTTATAAATACATCATTGTCATGGACTCGTAATAACTCAGTATAACAGTAAGTTTAGATATTATTACAGCGTAACAATGAATTCGCTACAGCTAATAAAAAAATTAGCTGTAGCGAAGTTGATAATGCAACGATACCAATAGTATTATTAACACCAATATTCCTATCAAATATCAATATTACGACAAATTCCATTACCACCAATGTATGCAGAACTACTAGCTCCATTAATAATACTATATGTGATATTACTATCGTCAATACTGATAATTTTATTACTATAGGTTTCATTAGTATTGATATAATTGTCGTTACATCTAATACCACAGCTTAGGGGCCACAATTCGCGTGTCGCTACCACAAATTTTACGCCACAAATAATTTCAAAACCACATCTACATGCAATAGCAAAACCGCAGTCATTACATCAACGTAACCATTTTTACTACAGCATTTTATTAATGATACTGCCAAATGTAATGTTAGTGCAATAATATACTGGTGTTGCTGCTCTTACTGCTACTACTGCTGCTGCTACCACAGTTGCTGCTGCTACCACAGTTGCTGCTGCTACTACAGCTAGTAACAGTAATAATAGTAGTAAAACTATTTAACATTCCGATTCACGTGTTTTAGTTAGTTTACGAAAAATCTATTTTAGCGCGTGCGTGCAAAGTAATAAGCTGTTTCTAAATGTTTTAAATTGATTGAATAAGTTTTTAAATTTTGTTCGATTCAAATTTTTATAACAAAAAAGGTAGTTGGTTTAAAACTAACAAAATCGAGAAAGGTCCTAGACATTTTGTCTTCTTCAATGTTTTCCATGTTGGATCGAAGTTACAGGCATCAGTGGCGGATCTAGACAACTTTGGTGAGGGGGCGAACTTTGAAAATGTTTTAATGTTGACAGGGGAGAGCCAAAATTTTCTTACGGTGGCTAACATTTGTAACTGGTACCAGGCCCTAGAATTCAGGATGTGTCATTGACATGGGCCTCCGAGTTTAAATTGACAACTTCTTCTTCATCCCGCCATATTGAAGTAATTTTGGCATGCAAACCTCTGGTTTTAGAGGCACATGTTATATGAACCGAGGCTAAAAATGGTCCTTACATGCCCTGGCTAGCACCCCGGACTCGTGCTTATTGACCAACGATTTACGTTCATACATGTTCATTCACATATATAAAATATTTTACTGTAGCCAATGAAATGTGTAGAAATTAACTTTTAATTTTTAGTTGGTCAAAAAATCTTCAGTTATCATTTTAAAACAGAATAATTGTAATTAAAGAAATTGAGCAATTAAGGGTTTAATTAAATAATCAATTTAATTAATTAAGATATATGATACTAATAAACAACCATCCCTTTTTAACTACTGTGAAATAAAGGTGTTTGTTTGGGTGGCAATAAAAAACTTCTGGCGTCAAAACGTTTGCACGCATATTCATTTGTTGCCGTTAGAATTTAGTTTATTTGTTGTCCTTAAACCATATAAACATACATACAAACACGCACATAGACACACATACAGACGCACTCACGTATAAGAAAAGAAACAAGTGTCACAGTAAACAAAAGTTGAGATATTGGTAACAAACAAGCAGACATTGTTCGACTGTACACTTGCTGATCTCAAAAGCGCACGTAAACGCTGGGTTCGCAATGTTTGACTCGCTCAGTTTAGCTAAATTAAATAACAATTCAGAAATATTTTATGAATGCATTGAGTGATGGCATCGAGTTACACATATTTGGATGTATCTTTATACGTTAGAATAAATGCACGCATATAAATCATTTTATTTTATATCATGAGTGTGTGTGTGTTCGTAAGTGCGTGTGTGCGTGCGCGTGTGCGTGTGTGTGTGTGAAAATATTTGTATTTGTGTCTATTTGCGTAAGTACGTGCCTGCTCATATATCAGTTAACTTTGCAAACAAAAAATTTTCTGACTTTGAATTTTTGTCTAGAAAATTATTAAATACGATGATCGATGATTTGATAACGAAAGATTTTTATGTGGAGTCAGGCTATAATCACACACACATACAAATACACACACACATACACACCTATATATACATATATATGCATATATATATATATGCATATATAACATATATATACATATATATATTATTGGTAAACCATATATATATATATATATTTATATATATACCAGAAGCCCACAAATGAAAAATATGAATGTATGAAAAAGAGTATATGCAAAGGTATGAAGATGAGATAGTATAAAACTGCGAATTCAGAGCTGTGTATCCAAGGCGTTAAGATTCAGCTTTCGGATTAGCGCTGCCTTATTTGCATTAATTATTTATTATTATCTACCGAATTTGATATTTATTATTTAAATAAAATTTATAACAAATTTTAAGTTAAAGTGTGATAATTTGTATAATCATGGTTTGGCAGAAGGGTGTCTTTATTCTGGCAACAGCTTTGTTTATCGCGTATGAAGGAACGTACGCGCATCCACTGGCTCCCAAAAGAAAAGTGATCGTCGACTGCGATCCAGGTGGCGATGACGCGCACGCACTCATCATGCTCCTGAGACAAACAGCCAAGATTGACGTCATCGGCATCACCGTCACCTTCGGAAATGTCTACCTGGAACAGGTGGCCAGGAATGCCATAAGAATCCTCAAACTGAACGACAGATTGAATGTTAGTTGGGTTCATTCTGTTGATGGGTCGGTTGTTTTGTTATTTGATTGGCAATTATTATCTGAGGGGTTATTTCAAAGAGATGAATCATTTCACCAAATTTTTCAATTATTATTGTTGGCGTTATTACAAAATGTAACAGATTAGATATTTTCTCTCAAAAAAATTATTGAAACATTAATATATCCATTAGTTTTTCCCCTCCTTGCCATTAAAACCACCACCGCCATCATACAGATCCCGGTATATTTGGGATCTAAGCACGGATTAGTCAACCGGAACTTATCAACCGATTATTACTTTGGTCCGGATGGGTTTGGAAACTTCAGCGACGACACCGTCCTCAGCGACTACACTCCCTACCTCAGCAATACTGAGAACGCCACAGCCGCCATGCGAAGAATGGTAGCCCAGAACCCTGCCAATGAAGTAACTCTCGTGGCCATCGGTCCCCTCACCAATCTGGCGAACGTCCTTAAGGAAGATCCAGAATTTGGGACAAAACTGCAAGAGACTATAATCATGGGAGGAAATTACAAAAGTCGGTCGTTTTATTTGCCGTTAGAAAATTCTTACATCAATTCAGTAATAAAAAACATTCAAATCATAATTCATTAACGAATCAACGGTAACCCATTAAGTCTTTCACCTCCTCGTCTTGTTGATATATTTTTTCAAACTCGACTAACACAGGCGTCGGAAACATCAGTCCCTACGCAGAATTCAACTTCTTTGAGGACCCCGAAGGAGCCAACGAGGTCATGACCAAATGGAAGGGCACCATCTATCTGATCACTTGGGAGCTCAGTTTATCTACAAGCATCCCATGGGTCTGTTTGTTGGTCGTTTTTTAGAGAATTGCCTGCTTGATTGACTGGCCGATTGTCGTTGACCAACTGAACGATTGACCGACGGGTTGACTGGGTGGCGATTAGTAGATTTAATGATCCGTAAGTTTTTTTACAACTTAGGATTGGTATGACCACCACATCACTGGCAAAGACTCCAAGTATTCAAAGTTCCTGGAAAACGTAGGCAGGCTGATGAGAGGCAATGCGGCCAAGCAGAACATCACGGTCTTCAACCCTTGCGACCAAGTGGCAGCGGCTTTTTTGTTACACAGAAGCATTATGAACAATGCCACACTCGTTGTAAGTAGGATTTTTTAATGTTGAAAAATTTTGAAAAATTAATCTTGGTTATTTATTATTTCTATTGTAAATAATAATAATCGTATTATTATTATTATTATTAAGAGAGAGCTTAAGGGCTGAAGCCGCCCCAATTTTTGGCTACCCGAAAAATGATCTTCAAGTGTTGTTTGTAATCATTCATTTGCAATGGCACATGCATACACATTGCACGTTGTTTTAAATCAATTGAATTGTTTGCCACAAACTGAAGTTTCATAATTTCAAATGAAAAAAATAATTGCAGGATTGCTACGTGGAGCTGACTAATCAGACCAGATTAGGAGAGAATGTTGTTGACATGAACAGTTCCAAGCCGAACAAGAACATTCACCTCATCACCCATCTCAACATGCCCCTTCTCAAGAAAATTCTTTCCGATTCTACCGACCCATGAATTAATTAATAAATTGTCGAAATGTCAAAAAAAATACTTCTTGATACTAACTTATCAATTAGAATTAATTTGTTGTGTAGTGGAGAATACCGTTATAATAAATATTGACATATTATATTTTATGGACGCATTAATAAACACTAATTATGTTCCATGAAAGTGATGTTTCGATAGAGTATTGGCAAAAAGAATATTTCATCTAAGTAAAACAAATAAATATTAGATACTACAGCTAAATCAAAACGTCAAATTGTATTCGAACTTTCGCAGATTAGTAAGAGTAATTTTTTTCGAAACGAGATTGAGACAGAGCAGTTACTCTTGATACTAATTAGGCACACACTGGCCATTCCGTTCTACAAAGTCTGTTAGAAAACCTTGCACTGCCAACTTGTGTACAAACACTTGTGTACATACGCACATACACCGCTCAATACACAGTACACTACACACAATAGTCTTTAAGTATAGAGCCTAGTGCGTTTGAAGCGAATCAGCATAAAATGAACACGAAACACGACATCTATCGGCATGACCTGATATTAACACTCCTAGCAGGTTTTCTACAAACATATGCAAACAATGTTTCAAACAAACAATATATATTAAATAAAACAAAACCAAAATATGAACAGAATTCACAAAAACCACAATTACAAAAACAATCACTTCACCCATGAGTGTATTTCGTCGTGTTGCTAGGCTCTTTACATTTTTGAAGTGATAGTGATGAATTATTATCACGTGACAGATGTACAGTGGTATGACGGTTAAAGGCTCCTGGTCTTGTGTTGCAGTCATCGGGTTCGAATTCATAAAAATTCGTGCGTACAATGCGTTCATTTACTTATGATGTTTCTGTAAGTAATGCAGGTTAGAAAGAATATCCCTACATTATCAATCTTACCAGGAATCTTTCTAGCAAGTAAATTTTTCATCTAAACAATAATTTTGTGGCTAATAGATCGATCAAAACGTGGCACCTTAACTTACGAATGGTTGTGTTCATTTAAAATTTAAAGGGCTGGTGTGTCAAATTTTTTGCCAAAAGTGGCGTTGCGATTTTAAAATTTTAAACTTTTCAGCGATTTATTTCATCAAAAATTTTCCACAGTTGAAACGTTATTAACAAAAAGTTTTAATCTAAAAAAAGTGTTTTTCTATATTTTTCCTTGTAGCAACTGTAGTAGTATTATTATTAATTATTAAATTATTATATATAAAAAATTATAAACTATAGTATAGTTACCATACCATACAATACAACAGTATGTCTTACATACTATAACAAAACAGAACAAACTAGTATTTTATTTTATTTCTTATTTCTACTACTTTTACTTGGTCTTTCTTTCTTTTTTACAGTTTACATTACAGATTACATTAGGCTTGCAATTATACATTTTTAGAATCATACTCAGAATTATCTATAAGAATTTATTTTTTATTAATCTTCAACTATTTTTTCAAAAACCTAAATGCTATGAACAATAATGATAATGGAACATTCAAAAGAGGTAAAACCAGTTTTTTAACAAAACTATATAAAACATGCTGTCAATGAAACTAATTTATTATTATATTAACAAAAATAACTTTGCTCTTTCTAACTTTTTTGCCATACAAAAAGTAAATTCAATTAATAAACCAACTATTGAAATTTTTAATTTTTCTATTTATTTCATTTTCTATTCTTTTTTGCTAGGAAATCAGGGAAAAATATATGAAGAACCTTTTGACAACAGGAGCAACTCAGGATCTGTGTGAAGTCAATCATATTAAATATTTTATTTAAATTAAGTAATAAAAGTCTAATAAATTATAATAAATATATAATATAATATATATTAATTAATTGAACATTGATGGCAAATGATCAATTATCACAGTTTAGTTTAAATATTGTAAATAGTGTTGAAACTTTGATTTTTGATTGATAGTTCTTGGCCGATGTGTTGCTCTGCGACTCAGAAATGTTGCAGGTGACCAACAAGTACCATCTGCAAATATCCAACCACGTAATAGATGATGGCAGCATTCAAGCTGTAACTATCATTCTACAAGTAAATAAATATGCAAATATATGTGTAAATAAATTTAATTGGATTAATTGAAAAATAACTATATAAAAATTGTATTGAAATCTACAGTTTAAAATTTTCAAGATTTCAATTGTAACAAATCTTTTCAAGATTTCAATTGTAACAAATCTTTTGGGTAAATGAACCTATTTTCTTGGTAAGAAATTAAGACGAGAGTTTTAGCATAACATTTCTCAAAGTTGCACAAAATAAATTTAAATCATTTGAATATTTATTGAAGCATCATTTAAATTCACCATAATGCAAAACAGAAAATGTACAAAACGTATACAACATGGAGGAAGACGATAGAAGATTTGATGGTGAGGTGGTCCAATCTGCCTCAAACATTCACAACTGACCAGGAGAAACTCAGTGCACTGCATTCGTTCAAGGCTCTCTGTTCTATACAAACCAATGAAGTTTGTTTTTGAGCTCTTAGAAATGATTGTAAATAAAAATTGAAGGTAAAATTTGATGTTTTAATGAAATGAAATTGTGATTGAAAATGTTGAGAGTAAAATTGATTGTATTTATGTCAGCCTTGGAAAATGTAGTAGTGACGATGTTGTTATAACAAATAGTGTTACACAAATAAGGGTGTTATATGTTAACAAGTTCAATTGAGTTGGGATATTGAAATGAAACACTGAATAGATGTCGCTGAAGGAAGGTGAGCATGTAACTGTCACTGATTCACACAGCAGACCCAACCAGCTGAAAGTTCGTTTTTGTCTTTTTTTTTATAACTGTTTCATGTTCCTATAAACTGATCTGCTATAGTAACATGGGGCATGATATAATTTCTTAAAAACTTGATACTACCAAACTAAATTTAAAGTTCATTAATCTAAACAGTGTTTGAGAATAATTCTGGTTGGAAGTGCATTTTTAATAAGCATCAACTCATACAATTAAATTTTTCTTGTAAAATTGTCAGTTTTTTTAGCATGCACAATCTCTTTACAGCAACACAAAGCAACAACAACAACAAACAGATCAAAAACACGAAAGGAATGGAGGGTTACATGTCAGTGTTGAGTTGCTTCTTACCAACTCCGGACCTCAACCTTACAAACTGCATTGAGAGACTTCAAGTCCAACTGACTACCTACTGGACTGACTCTGTTTCCAAGGCACTTGTGGCATTAAAGCAGAATGTTCTGGCATCTGTTAAAGAGCTACTTTTGAAAATTGTAAAAAAAAAATTTTAAATTGTAAATTTTTTCGTAAAATTATAATTTTTTCTTGTGAAATTGTTAGTTTATTGTGAAAATGTAAATTTTTTTGGGGAATTTGTTTCATTCTTTCTTTTAGGTATATAATTTTAATACAAGTTTTTTCATATCTTATCATTTGGTTAAAAAGTTGGTAAAGAATCACTCAACATAACCGTTCGTTATCGTTTAATTCCTGTTATTTCCATAACTATTTTCAACATGCACACAGTCCTTTTTTCATCGCTACACAGCTTAAAGCTTTCCACAGTAATAAAAAACCATTTTCCATTTTTTTTCTCCATTCAAGACAGACATAGCGAACATTTTTAATATCTTCATTATTGTTATTATAACCATTATTTTACATCAACATATTAAGGTTATTATTACCATTGTCACATCAACACATTATGGTTAATGTCATCATTCTTACATCAACACATTATGGTTAATGTCATCATTAGTGTTACTTACACCATCGCATAATTTCATCATCGTCATTTTCATCATCCTCTCAAGGATGAGATCCCCGCGACAAGTGCCAGCAGAAAGTTTCAAGAGCGCTGTCAGAGGTTTCTGTCAGCCGTCGAACTGAGGGACGAGTTTATGATCAGGTACATCTCCCAAGCTCTCAGGGATTTGGAAAATGATTTCATCCAGAATAATTATGAAGGTGGTTGGTTTGGTGTTTTTTTTACGTTTTTAATAAAAATTAATTGATTATTTTGTGGGTTTTTTTGTATTCTTGATTCTTTTTCAGAGTAAAATTTTTCAACGTTGGTGGTATTTTTTTTGAAAATTTTTACATTAAAAGTTCATACACCTAATTTAGATTATTTAATTTTAGGATGCTTCTTCTTTTAAATAGCACTAGCTAGTGCAATCAGCTCAACAGTTTTTATGGTTTAACAAAAATTTTTTACTCGGTTTTTCAAATAATTATTTTTTTTCAAACGTTTACTTTCAATTGAAATGAATAGTTGAAATATTTAAATCAGAAACAACAGTACAAAGGAATAGTATTGCAGAGATCGATAAACCCCTCTTGTACTACACAGTATGTTTGTTTATCATCACATCATCAAGCTATGTAACTCTTATCACTATCATTCATTAAGCCATTCCATCATGATTCACTCATTTCATCATTGTGATGCATATTTTTTAACGTAATGTAACTCAATAGCTAATATTAAATTTAGACTTTACTTTACAACAATTGCAACAGCACAGTGTTCAGTGTTAATGAATGAACATGTTGTATAACCAACTGACGACTTTTTAAAATATGTAGCTACCAACGAATAGCAAAACAACGCAGTAGAAAGACGTAAAACAATAAGAATACAAAATTGGTGAAAAAAAACATCAGCAGCAATAAGAACAGTGGTACAACAACAGCAATAACATTATCATCAACAACACATTTTCTTTAACAACAACAACTACTACTACAACAACAACAACTACAACGACCCACTTACAACAACTCAATCAAATTAATCTATTTACACAGGCGTTGGTGGACAACTTGTTATCGTACAAACAGCAGCTGTCCATCCACTGCAGGCCTGTCATTGTCAAAGAGTTAAACCTAAGTGCACTTAAGCAATGCCAAAGTAAAAATATCAAGTGGGCCGTGTTTGTTGCTATAATATTATTGTTATTATAATTATAATTGGTAGTGTCATACTTTGAACTTTGATGATTTTTATGTTGACAAATTCATCATAGTTCAATTTTATGCATGCTTTGTGAACTTCTTATGTGTTGTTTAGTTATTGTTTCAACGTATTTCACAAAAAATGAAAAGTAGAAATTGTCAACATACAAACAAACTAACAAATAAACAAGCAAACAAACAAACAATCAAATCAACAAACAGACAGACAGAGAAATAAACAAACAATCATCGACATCCAACAAAACCACAGATACATTGAATTGAAAATAACATCTATGGAGACGACAACACGAGACGAACGAACCTACCGCACGCTACCACCAACGACAACCACAGCTGCCACAACACAACGGACTGGCATATCGCGAAGATGTAACATTGATTATGTGGTCGACGCGAGGTCTGGCGAGCGACTGTCGATGAAGGATGCAGTAGCGGCTGGTATTCTTGATAACAAATCCGGTAGTTACGTTAACATCGAAACCGGCAAGAAAGAACCCATCGCTTCGGCCCTGGCTAAAGGGCTGATAAAAGTTTCTTTTTCAAACATAAATACTCCTTTAACAGGAGGCAGTGTTTCTTCCACCACTGATAACAACAACACTGCTGACGTTCGTACTAACTTGAGTACTCCTAATCCTATGGAGGCTACTCCACCTGTTACTACTATTAACAATGTAAATGGGACCAGTCATGGTAGTTTTAATACTAATCAGAATGTTATTAGTAGTAGAGATGTTGCAGTTGATGCTGAGTCTGATTCTAGAATTCTAACAAAACCAACTCGGAAAGAAAGTGGTGAAGAGGATATTGAGACAACTTCTCATCCTTTTGCGAATCCTCTAACTACTGGCGTCACAGAAGTTGCCAGCAACGTCGACGACAGCAGAAGCCAGCCACAAGGCCTCATAACGCTTCGCACGCGCGTATACAGAGATGAGTACGACATAGTGAGTGTTCGAGATCACCTGACCGATCGGATGGTCAGTCCCCAACAAGCGCGGAATTCTGGAATCATTGACGGCGGTCTCTTCAGGAACACGCTGACCGATGAAACTGTGGTGCTTGATGAGGCCGTGAGGCGAGGCTGGATTGAAGTCAATGAGTGGAAGAGTAAGGACGGGGAGAAAGTTCAAACGCGAAATCTGAGCTGCGAAGTTGACTCCAGCGTCAAACGAAATCAAAATGTTGACGACGCGTTTGGCGGTGGTGACGTCAGCGATGACGATGCGGTGACTTACGCGGTTGATGGAGTGATGGACAGGATGGAGGAGAGGTACGTTTCGTTTGTGGAGGCCATCAAGAGAGGACTCCTGCATTCCGAGTCGGGATGTTTTGTTGATAATCTCACCAAGGTTGCTGCTTTTCTCATTTTTTAATCTCCTTTTCCTCTGCATTTTAAAACTATTTTTAGCAAAAATTCTTTTGTTTTGCGCTGCTTTCAAACGTTTTGTTTTAGCTAATGATGGTTTATTGTCATTTGTAATTCAATGGCATTATATATAATAATTTCATTTGGCCATCGCTGTGATATGATGATAAAGAATGATAGATGGTGATGTTGTTGATGGTGTTAACAATGACAATGTGCCACTGAGGAATACGGCGATGATTAATAAAACACTTACAGGCAAAAATATACCCGGCCGAGGCAATCCGCCTAGGTTATATGAAGGTCACACGAGTCGAGACTCCACGAAATAACCAACTGACTACCTACAAACCGAACACGAACCGGCGCTCGAGAAACTACTTCAGTCAGTTTTTTGATCTCCATCACCATCCTCAAAACTACCACCACGCCAGCCTCATTCAGCCAGTTGTGTCGCAAGGGGCTGACGCTGCAGATGCGGCCAAAGAGTCAGCAAGGACAAAGACAATCGCAGTTTTCAATGTTCCCAACGAGCATGTCAGCTCATTCTCCGATAGCAATAATAACTTCAGTCCCCCCCATAACAATAATAACAACAATGACAGTAACGGTAATCAGATGGGTGGTGGTGGCGATGGCGGTAGCGTTGATGTCGACAATATCAATGTGGAGTTGAAAATTCAGGAGATATCGTTTTGATGTGTTTCTTTAGTTTTGTGGTAGATGTGGTCTGATAGATATGATTGGATAGATGGATGGATCAATTATTTATTTAAATGAATGTTTAATTGATTAATTGATTGATTGTCGAAGAGCTGAACAGATAAATGAATGAATATTTAGATTGATTAGTTGTAATAAGCAAAGACATTGACGAAAAAAATTTGTAAGTCAATGTATATTTTTATATGTTAAATTCCATTTTCTCTTTAAACTTTCACATAACAACAGGCAATTAGATAGATAACTCGTTTATTCCTTTCATGCATTCATTTCAGAACGTTCGCGTTGTAATGTATTTCATCATATGTCTGCTCATTTTACACGATGAAGTCTTCTCGAGGGTATGACTCACCTGATTGGTCATCCATTTTTTGACTCACCTGATTGGTCATCCATTTTTTGACTCACCTGATTGGTCATCCATTTTATGGATCGATTGATTTCATTGGTCGCCTAACTTTTGCCATGTTTATTTTCCAATTTCTTTCGGATGAACGATTTCGCATTTTATTCTAAAGATAATAATAAGAATAACTTAATAATTATAATAAAAATAAAAATATTAATAATAATATAACCAACTTTCAGAGCCTTATAACGTAATGATAATGTTACAATGTTACAAACTTGCTTTCGCTTTTAAAAAATGTTTTTGACTTTTCAGCAAAACGTTAAAGGCAGTTTATCTCATATCTATATACAGTATAGTGTTTATCATATATTAACATAATTTATACTGTATAATACTAACTTAATCTATGCCATGATAATACTACTAACAATATTAAATAGTAATAATTGTATTTGTTTATCAAAGTTTAGTCAAGTTGTTCTTTTTTGATTTTAATTCGTTTTAATCTTATCTTTTACTCATTCTCAATTGCATGGATCAATTTCAATTAGTTAATTAACCAAATAATTAATTAGATAATTAATTGATTAGTTAGTTAATTTTACAACTTTGTTGGACCAATGTTAATGAACTTCCAGCGTCTATTCTATTTCGTATTTATTCAACTCTTCATTTGTTAGTTGTATTTAAATTTTAATTGACTTAATTTTCAATGTGTGCATTTTAATTTCAATTTACATATTTTATAATTATTATTTTCAATTAATTATAATTATTTAATTAATTTTACTTGTTATTTTACTTATAATTTTTTAATTCGTGTATTTTAATTTTCTCACGTTTATTCGATGAAACTTGACTTTAAAAAATGTTATTTATAACCATGCGCACACACGCACACACACGCGCACACACGCGCACACACCAGTTGATAATTGTTGCAGTTGTTATTACCGACAACAACCAACAATTAATATTACCATCACTGATGCAATTAGTGTAGTAAGATAACACATGAAACATGTCATTTGTCTTCGTTTCTTCTTCTTACGTAACATTTTTAGAGCTGTTTAACACACACGCACACACACACACACACACACACACACACACACACACACACACATAAATATATATATATATATATATACCGTACTTACTGCTGAGAAGTTTCTTATTTAGCAGTCACGTGCTTCGTTACCGTTGTTGTATTTTCCACGTCACTGTGACGTCATATTCAGAATATTGATTTTATGTTTTGTGTTATGTTCTCTTTTTTAAATTAATTTTTCTAACTATTTAATTTTTTTTCTCGATATTCGGATGAATTTTTCATTCGAACTAAAATATTTTTCTTTATAAAATGTTTTTTTTCCTTTTTTTCATTTGTTTTTTACGTCACATTTAAGTTAATACATGCTTCAAACGTATATGTGTTTGTGTTGTTGGTGTGTGTAAGTTTGTGGGTTCATACACACTGATAAAGGTTTTTATGTATCTATAGTATCCATGAATCGGAAATTATTTTTAGATTTGCATATATATATATATACACGTGTTTGTTTGTGTTTGTGTGTGTGTTTAGATTTGTATATATACACACACGTGTGTGTGTGTGTGTTTTCGTTTATATCTTATGCACCACCACGTTTTTATAGGAGTGTTTGTTTGAAGTTGTTTATATTTTGTACACACCGCAAACTCATTTTTCCCTGTTTCCGGGTCAATGAACTTGAATTCCCGATATTTATTTTCAGATGTGATTCTTTTTTATTTTTTCATTAATTTATTCATAATGATACTTTTAAAAATTTGGCTTCCGCCGAGTATGCATTGTTTCTATTTACGTTTTCACATTTTATGGATTTTATTTCAATTAGTTTATTTTTCTTCAATTTTAACTTTTAATAATACGATTTGAGGATGTCTTACAATGTTATTATTGTTTTTTAACACTATTTAAGCTGCTAACTAATTGCCCTTGATTCACATTCAACAGAGGACTCATTCGGTTGAAATTCTATTCCAGAAACACATCATTCAAACAAGCCTACTATAGATCATGTTAATAATATTTGTTACAATAAAATGTGTTTGCTAGTTTTATGGTGGGTAGTTAACGAGTAGTTAGCGAAGCACATTTATGTATGTATACGTGTGTGTGTCTGTGTGCGTGTGTGTGTCTGTGTGCGTGTGTGTGTCTGTGTGTGTGTATGGGCGCCCGTTTTTGTGTGTTTGTTTATGTGTGCGTTTGATGTACAGCAGATGTTTCATGTTTACATTTACATGTTGCTACTCTACCCGTGAGTTGAGTTTTCATGTGATTTAATTAACATCTTGTTATTTTTCCTATTATTATTATTAATTATAATAATATTAGAGGTACTAGCTTAGCCACTAAGTTGTAGTTGTTCTGTTGTAAAAGTAGTAGTAGTAGTGGTGGTGGTGAAGATTGTAGTAGTAAGGTTGTGGTAGTAGTAGTAATACTGGTTGCTGTACTTATGAATGCAGTTTTTATTTAAGAGTAGCAGGTTCATAAAATTTTATCCATTAAAATGATAATTTGATAATCATCTGACTTCAATTTTTTTATCAACTCCAAATTATTTTCGAACCTGTTAATTCGCTTGAATTTTTTACATCGCCCTTGTTCTCTCTCTTCTTCACTCTCTCGCTCTTTCTCTCTCTATCTCTCTCTCTCTCTCTCTTTTCTTCTCTTTATTTCGCATGGTTTGCTTTTTAGTTTGCTTCCTAGTAAGTTTTCGTGTAATAAATGTATGTAATTTGTTGTGTTGTGTTTGTTTATGACGCACACAGAGTTTGTGTGTTTGTATACTGCAATTTTTAAGACATGTTGAAACATTTAATTAATTAATCTATTTATTAATTTATTCATGCAATTAATTTTTTTCCATTATTTATTTTTACATTTCCTTATTTAATTTATCAAATCCACCGTAGAATGTGACCAAATAAGTTTTTTTTCTAAAATCGGTGATGGATTGATATTTACACACACACAAACACACACAAACACGTACACGTACACACACGCACATCACATATATACTTGTACGTACAATATAATATATATTTTTGATTTTATACTGTTTATGGTATAATGTAAACTAATTTGAATTTAACAATGTTTACGTTCCTTGGTTGATGGTGATGATAAAGTAATGTTTTGACCATCAGTAAAGTTTACCATAATGACAAAAAATATGATAATAACGATGATGATGATAGCAATATAAAATAATTATAATTATTATTATAAATATAAATATAATAATATTATAATGATGGAGTGATAGTTTAAAATGAGTGAATGATGTTTATGTGGTTACAATTATTTCTCATGTTTTATTGTTGATCTTTCATAATTGACCGTTTATTTAAAGCGTTAGCCGTTAATAAAAATGCATTAAGATCAACACTTTTGTCATCAGTGAACGGATGGGTAGATGAATTAATGAATGAATGAGTGAATGAGAAAGTGAATTGGTGTTGACTGACTGAATGAATGAATGAATTGATGAATGAGTGAAGAGTGAGTGATTGAATCAACAAACGAATGCGAAAATGAATATGTGTTAATTGATAATACAAAATACATGGACTACTTCAAAAATATAAAAAAAAACTATATAAAAATATTCAAACAAGCTGGATTTATTAAAAAACACAAAAACCATTAATTAATTAATTAAAATTAATTAATTAGTTAGCGAGTAAAAATAGAAAAGTTTTCGGTAATGACATCTTTGATGATGAATGACGATTACGAGTGGGATGGTGATGACGACTACGTAGAAGATGATGATGATAATAATAATAACAATAATAATAATGATGATGACGATGATGGTGATAGTTATGATAACGATGTGGTTATAGTAATAGATAGACCGAGTCACACTTTCATTCAATTACCCGCCAACAATTAAGATGATGATAATGATCGGATAACGAGAATAATGATAATGATCGGATAATGATGACGATGATGATGATGATGATGGCGATGATGAGGATGATGAGGGCTGCGATTGTTTTTCAATTGATCATAAACATCATTATTTACCTGAAGTGCGCGCATTTGTGCGTGCGTGCGTGTGTGTGTGTGTGTGTGTGTGTGTGTGTGTGTGTGTGTGTGTGTGTGTGTGTGTGTGTGTGTGTGTGTGTAGGTATGTATGTGTAGTTTGTAAAAAGATAAGTGGATGTTTAGATGGGCAGCAATCATTAGAAGTTCAAAGTTCAATTAATTTATGGAAAAGAGCTTTCATGCAAATGTCTTCTGCATCGTGTATTTGTGTGTTTGTTTGTATATATGTTTGTATGTTTGTGTGTGTATATGTGTGTGTTTGTTTGTGTGTGGATGTGTGTAGATGTGTGTATGTGTGTGGGTGTAAGTTTTGCAGGATTCACATGTTAACAGTAGCGTTCAATGAATGAACGATTGATTGAATAATTCAACGAAGGAGAGAAGTGATGAATGAACGAATGAATGAACGAATGAACAAATGAATGAATGGATGAAAAAAAATGAATGAATGGATGGATGAACGGATATATGGATTGATGAATAAACTGGTGAATAAATTAAGGGTTTGACAAACAG